CCCCTTTGCCCCCACCACCATTTTCACTTGTTCCCGTCTCCGAGTGAAACCGGTTTTGCTTGCAGAAAAATGCCGAGTTAAAGAAAGAAAGCGTATATTGAACTCCGTATCGCGGTTTCGTTGCGTTCTCCTCAACTTGTTAACTGCACGGAAGCAAGAAACACCATCGCAGACCGTGTACTCCATTAATACTGGAAAACGATTTCGCCGTTCCGGTAAAACGCTTATTAAGGGCCGCAGGGAGTAAACGAAGTGCAATGTCTGTTTTTCGATGTGGCTGCGAGTGTTGTTGCTGCGTTACAGACTTATGTGGCGTCCTGCTTCTGTTGTTGTAAACGAACCTGTCTGGACCGTGGATCGCAGGTACTGCCTTTATTGGAAAGGTATAGAATACGCGCAGGCCCCGCCGTGGTGGTCTAGTGGCTAAGGCACTCGGCTGCTGACCCGCAGGTCGCGGGATCAAATCTCGGCTGAGGCGGCTGCATTTTTCCGATGGAGGCGGAAATGTTGTAGGCCCGTGTGCTCAGATTTTGGTGCACGTTAAAGAACCCCAGGTGGTTGAAATTTCCGGAGCCCTCCACTACGGCGTCTCTCATAATCATATGGTGGTTTGGGGACGTTAAGCCCCATATATCAATCAATTAGAATACGTGCAGGGCAAAGCATTTCTTCCCGAGTGCTGTCTTTGGTGTTCCAGCGTGAAATGTTGTGCAATATCTCTCACATGTCGAACCTGTAGGCAGTGTACAAGAAAAAAATGCTCGCAAGTTAGTTCGAGAAGATTAAATGGGAAAGCGTAGTTCCCCCTGTAGTAGTGGGTGATGTGCACGAGGTGATTTGCAACCCCCCCCCCCTTTTTTTTTTATGCGTGTTGCCTACAAGGGTAAAGTGTTCCGCTGATATGCTCAAGGATGCGAATTCGATTCCCGGCTTCGGCAAGTTGCGATTTCGATGGAGGCGAATCCTAGAACACCGGTGTACCTGAGATTAAGTTTGTCAAGTTGGGCGGGCCGGTGAGAGTTAGGTTGAATGATAATAAGAATGCTGCGGTTTCGTCTCCCAAAACCGCGATATGATTGAGGGACACTGTCGGTTTCGTCTCCCAAAACCACGATATGATCGAGAGACGTCGTATCGGAGGGCTCCGAAAATTTCGACCCTCGGATCTTTTTTGACGTCTACACAAATCGCAATACACGGGCCACTAACATATCGAATGCATCTAAATGCGGCCGCCGTGGCCGGGATTCGAACCCGTGACCTTCGGTGGGTTAGTAATCGAGCACCATAAGCAGTAGACCACCACCGTTTAGGGTTAATACTGCATTTTAACGTTAAGGGTAGATGGACAAAGCTTTCCTTCTCTTTTCTTATTCCGTGTTTGTCCATTAACTCTACGTTAAAATGTAGATTTAGGAACACGTGGATCTTAGACGCACCCCGAAATCTTAATTCGTAGCCCTTAGTACGGCGTGCCTTACAAATCATATCTTGGTTTTGGCACGCGTAAAGCCGCACTATTATTATTATTATTATTATTATTATTATTATTATTATTATTATTATTATTATTAATATTATTATTATTATTATTATTATTATTATTATTATTATTATTATTATTATTATTATTATTATTATTATTATTTGAGGATCGAGTGTCATTCTTGCCTCGCAGTCCTTGCTCCTTTAATGACCTACAATTCCTGTCACTTAGCTGTCGTACGTTCACCAATAAGTGGCATGGGAAAAAACATGAACGTCCTCCACTGCGATTGCGCCACTTCGTAAACCCTGATAAACAGCTTCGACAGATGACATTTGGAGTCGTTCAAGGTGTTCGCAGTGTATGCATATGCATTCAAACTCAAAGGGCAGTGAATAGATGGACGTATGTTCTGGGGCTTCCGGCCTCCTTTAAGCGCGTCACCGGAGGCGAGAACTCCAACAATAGTCCTTTCATTGCCGTCTACGTTTGTACTGTTTGCTCGTCTTTGTATACCGCACTTTTGCGGGCGTTGTCCGCACGGGAAAAAAATAAGTCGACTGCGGGACTTTCTGTGTAGTGGAAGCGCCAGTTTTTTTGCAGCAATTCCCCGGGCAGCTTTGGAGTTGATCGCTATAGAGTTCTCCCCGCGTAAGAGAACTAATTGTTCGAGTCTTCACAGTTAATGAAGTTTCATGGTTTGTTACCATTTAGCGTTACAGGTCGCATGTACCAGTGTTTCCTGATTGTTAAGTCAGTAATTCGACCTTTGATAGTCGGCATTAATTCGCTGCATGGTACCAGGGGCGTATAGGCAGAAGTTTCGCGGGGCCCCGCCGCGGTGGTCTAGTGGCTAAAGGTATCTCGGCTGCTGACCCGCAGGTCGCGGGATCGAATCGCAGCTGCGGCGGCTGCATTTCCGATGGAGGCGGAAATGTTGTATAGGCCCGTGTGCTCAGATTTGGGTGCACGTTAAAGAACCCCAAGTGGTCGAAACTTCCGGAGCCGCCCTCCACTTCGTCGTCTCTTATTCATATGGTGGTTTTGAGACGTTAAACCCCATGTATCAATCAATGTCAGAAGTTTCTCGGGGGGGGGAGGGGGGAGGGCATCTTTTACACCTGAAGTAGAGACTAAACAGTTATATGTGGAGGAGTGTCACTTTGGCCTGTGTAGGCTATGGAAAAAAAATTGGAGATTGGATGGGGGTGCATTGGCCCCTTGTTTCATCCCCTGGCCACGTCACTGGCTGCCACAAACATGTCGACTGCAAGTATCCTAACGCGTTATGTGCTTCTCTTTTCCCTTCATTCTACTATGCGAGAACTATATTGTAACAGAGAAATACTTCCAGAGGTGTGTATCTTCGAAAATCTTCACATGATTACTCCTCTAGCGATGCACCCGCCGTAAACGTGTGCATGTGTTCCGATATTCTGTAACTTATTCGCTTACGTAAACATCAGCTTCAGTTTGTGAAATTTTCACCGTTTGCCGATTGCCGTGTTGCCTTTTTAACGTCGCGTAGCGTTTTGTTCAGTGACAGCGCGGTCGGAGAATAGAGATGAAAGGAAATATAATTGTTTTTTGAGTGTTCCCGCAGAAGGGAACTAGCCGAAGTACTGCTCTTTGCAACTGTATAGTGCAACAGCGCTTTGTAGCTGCAGTTAAAGCGACATTACAGTGAGGCGTGTTTAATTATCTGATAGGCTATATTTCGAAAACTATAGCGTTTGTAATTGGGCAACCATAGGTTTGTTGAAAGATGAGGAAATCAATGTCAGATGTGTTACATTTACAAATCAGTAACGTCACCATTGAAGATCTCCAATGAAGACGTAGTGGATTTTTTTCTTCACATTTGAGCCACATTGGCTGAACAAACTTTCCTGGAACTTAGTATCTTATGTCTCTTGCTCCCTAAAAAGGCAATTTCACTTCACTTTTACCTATTGCGAACTACTTAGGCCTCCGTCAAACTGTGTGTAGTCACAACGACATGGCTAGGGAACTCCGAGGTGGTGCCGCCATTCGAATTTTTTTTCCTTGTTTGTTTCTCGCATACCGAGGATCTCCTTACAGCAAGCTTGGTGTTATTGGTGTATATAATGCAAGAAAAAAAATCGTTTTCTCTTTGTTGTTCCTTTACAGTCGAACATCTTTCTCTGCAGTAGTGCAGTTTTGTCTATACGTGGGACATCATGTCGCTTCCAACGTTGTTTTTTTTTTTTTGCGTTTACTTATCCGGTAACTGAATTTTCGAACAGGTGCATGCGTTTACGGACGAACTGTAAGGTAGATACTGCGCAGAAGTGCACGATGTGTGCTGTGCCAGCGAAAGCACGGCTTATGCTTTCTATTGTGCGTCCGTATACCCTCTCGTCGCTCCATCGAAGGTTTCGACGCAGCGGTGAGTGAACAACGCCGCGGGAAGTCTATGCTCCCCTTTTGTTCGATTGTTTGCCTGCGCTCATTTGTCGCACCCACGCCTTTTTTGTGCGCCTCTCTCGCCGCCGCAATAGTGTATGTTTGAGCCGCTATTCAGTCTGTATATATATATATATATATATATATATATATATATATATATATATATATATATATATATATTATATAATATATATATATACGGCGATTTATGTGTGGTTCCCGCCCTTTGAAGCTGCGCGTTTCGGTCGACGACCCAGTTTTTGAAGAGCGGGAGGGAGACGGCGTCGCCTGGTGGGGGAGGATATCGTATACGCTTTTCGGGAATGACGCATCGTGTTGCGCGTGTACGTGACTTCGGCCTGTGAACACGATCTTCTACTTCGGCCTGGTAACACGATCTTCTCGCACGCTGTCGTGACGTTTTCCGAGCCGCCTGTCAGCTTTAGTCTATAGACCTTAGTGTCGATGTTCTCCGATACCAAAATATCGAACAGTTGAAAACGATACAGGCACCAAGTCACTAAACATGATTACCGTTAACGTATATATGTGCGATCGCATTATCTATTAGTGGACATCTTTTTTTTTTCTTTCTTTTTTAAAGAAGAAGTCAGGTTTAACTGGAGCTGACCAGAAAGCAGTGCTCCCACTCAGAATTCGGTAGACCTCGTCTTGCTATCGCGACTTATCGTATGAATGACGGTTTCAGTCGCTGGGCCTATAACTGTATTCGGAAACATATTTACTATTAATACTTGCTCGCCATCTTCAAAAATGCATACTATCAGTTAATTCAATATTTTAGTGTTGAACTCGTAGTTTTTTATGCAGAATATGCATGGATAAACTTCTGGTTCTGTCTATAGCTCTTCATACATGCATTGTATTTGAGTAATGTGAATACTAGTGCAGATGTACTAAGTTTAACGAGGATAAAGCATCGACAATTGATGATCTCTGGGTGATTCCGGTGCGAGGCCCGTGTCCTTTCTAAGAATGCCAAAAGCCACTTGTCTTCTTTCTCTTTAGATGCACGCGGCCAACGGAGTAAAACGAGTAAACAAATTCCCGCCCGCCGTTTCAGGTGATCGTGATTCCGCACTCGCACAACGACCCCGGATGGCTGAAGACGTTCGAGGGCTACTTCCTGAGCAACACGGCGCACATCCTCAACAACATGGTCGAGTTCCTGCAGAAACACAAGGACTTCTCTTTCTCTGGGCCGAGATGTGCTTCTTCTCACGCTGGTGGCGCAGGTGTGTTTGTACTACCCTGAACCCTTCTTTCTTTTTGTTTGTTTTAGGGGCGAAGCTCCTTAGGGCGTGGGCTGTGCGTCCCCTGTAGCCTGTATGTAGCCACCTCTAGTTTAGTTCTTGCAGTGTTCACTAGATGGCGGTACCGTCTCCTGTATGTAGCCACCTCTCGTTTAGTTCTTGTAGTGTTTACTAGATGGTGGTACTTGTAGTTGATGAAAGACGCGAGATCTTATAAAATAGGAATGATGTCACATATGGCGCGTGTCATTGGTTGAAGGCAATCGTTCGATTTAGTGCGGCGACGTACGCTAGGGGGAGCGTTGTAATAAAATCCGTTCGCTGTTGGCGCGCGCTCGGAGTCGCCGGATGGATAAGGCTGCACAGCGGAGAGAGCGCAAGGCGGCAGCAGCGCGCGCTCGCAGACAGAATCCCGATGTGCGAGCGCGCGAGGCAAGGGACATCGCAAGCCATCCATCGTCTAAGAACAAATAAAAGTTGATTTGTGTATATACACACACAGCGTTTCTCACGTCTTTACATGATGATCGACTGGGCGAATTACACAGAAGATTCACAGTTTACCGATGAATCCATCCGGAGCTTCGCCCATTCATCATCATTCACCCCGTGAATATGCCGTAATTTTTTTTTGCTTTCGAAGAGACCGTGCTTTGCTGTTACTCGCAAGTACGGTGCGTTCTGAACGCCCAAACTGCGCCCCGAACGGTGGCGAAGTCTCTCTAAATTCTCGGAGTTTCGCTATAATACCTGTCTTTTCGACCAGACCATGGTCTCGTCATTCTTTCCTGACACGCTTTCTGTAGTAATAATAATAATAATAATAACACGTGGCGAAACTACAATGATTGGAGGGCACGTCCCAGTGAAGGGCTCTGGAAACGACCAGGTGGTTCATTGACGTGCGCTGACACCGCACGTTTCGCCGGCTTCTAGCACTTCGACTCCGTCGAAATGTGACCGCCATGGACGGGAATCGAACCCGCGACCTATAGGGGCTATAGTAGACGAGCACCGTAACCCACCGGAGCGGAGAGATTTAGCCCTCTTCCCGTTTAATTTAGCCGGCAGCTAATCAATGTCTCATTTCTGCGGTCGTCGTGTGTTTCCCCCTTTCATTTACCGAATCAATCAATCAATGAATCAATCAATCAATCGTAATTTTACCGTGTTCAGTTGTTGGGGTCCGCGTTGTCACTATTAGAACGCGTTTACGCGTTGCTGACACCTTCTTTGTATTCAGTTTCTTGCTAACCTCTCTTCTGTACTTAATTAACAAGTTTGCCCAGCGAGCAGTTACTCGCATATGCGGCGTCAAGCTTCGAGGCGTTCATTAGTAGCCTCACCCATTTTGCGCTGTAGTGCACTCAAAATTTCTTCTGCAACGTTGATTGGCGTGTCGTAATATCAAGCAGCCAGCCCTCTGCTTTTCTACTTCAATCACGCCCGAAAAGAGGACAGCTTCGTATGACTAACAGCGCACACCTAAGCGTTGTGGATTTCCTTTTGTGCCTCGGCATCCCCACTAATGAGAGCCTGTTTTTTGCAAGGGACAATGTGTACCCGCGCGCTATATGCCCGGCTAGCGTCACGATATTGGCGATGGGTCGGGATGAGTGCAGTCCGGTCAAATAGAGCAGACGCTGCTCGCGGATGTAAGCCCAATTCCACGCCCGCGTACCTCCTCTTTTCTTCTTCTCCATCTCCAGCGTCACGATGGGCGATGGAGTGCTGAACACCGAATAGGGCCCGTGTGCGACTTGGGAAGGTTCGTTCTCCGTTGGATGCGTGGAGGGGTAATTGGTTAGAAGCCAAGGGCGCAGGCGGACTTTTTTTGGGGGGGGGGGGGGGGATGGGGGTCACAACTTTGATCAGAAGTGGGGGCCGGGCACGTATATGGGGTCGAGTGTCATGCTTTGTATGCCATAGTAGGCAAAAAAGTTCAGGCGGGGGGGGGGGGGGGTTGGACAGGTCCCGTGTGTCACCCCATGGCTACGCCCCTGTTACAAGCGTTAGAGGGAATTGCTGGCGAGACGACAGAGGGAAGCTGACGCTGATGCATTGTATTTAATGATGCATTCTTTTACAGGTACCTTTAATCAATGTGCTATAGTTGATCTGAACTAAGCTTCGATCTTGACACCGCCATTGTGATACGAAGTAGATACCTTAGTGACTACCGGGAATAGAAGTTATTCGCCACCCTGCGGCGGTAGTTTAGAGTTTGTTGTGCTTCACTGTCGACCTGCAAGTCGCTGGATCGAATTCAGGCCACGGCGTCAAAATTTCGGTGGAGGCGAAATGCTATACTCTATTCCAGAAGTTCCGTGCACCAGAGCCAAGGCTACACGACCCTCGAGCGCAGGTTGTTGCGAAGCGAGATGTAGTGCCCCGTATACGTAGCCCGTTGTTTGTCCTCGTGACTTTTGCAAGTGGTCTCGACGGATGATTTTTACTTCAAGGCTTCTCTGCGTGTTGTAGCTGTGATTTGTACGACGATTTTGTCGCATTTTCTGTAGAAAACAATTTTTGTGGCTCCATGATACTGAAGAAAGAGTTCTTGTTTGTACATGTTATAACATGCAAACGACGAACGAAATAACGCTGTTGTGGCTCGTATGTGTTATGTTTTTACTTATACAGTACGAAGGAATGGTACGACACTGTCTAAACTTTTGTGGGCAATCCGCACAGCCCGAGTGTCCAAAGCATCGCGGAAGACCTGGTCTTGGGTTGTGACTAGTCCGCGGTGGCAGATTTGGTCACTCCTGTCAAAATGGCGGCGCCTGATTCACCTGTGCGATATAATTCCCGGATCAGCTTTTACGACAAGGGAGAGAAGCAGCTGGCTCTAAATCTGTTCCGGACACTGCGTAAAGAGGGCGGCAGAAGTGCAAGCATGAGCTTTCTCATTAAGAGGACGGCTGCGTTCGCCAACATCAGCGAGCGTGCGCTGTATACAAGTGGGTAGCGGAGCACGATGAGCACGGCAAGGTACGATAAGCACGGTGAGGCACCGGGAATAGAGCCATCATTTCGTATCGAACACGAGCGGCACCTCGCATGCCCATAGACATGCGTACACGAAATCTGACGTAGCGTGGGGCTTTCATACTCAATTTGGATAGTGCGGCGCTTTCTACCGAAACATGAGCCACTGAACCATATATCCCTCAAATGTCTACGGGCAAGTATCTCGGAGACGCGCGCTTTTACGGTGCCGAGGAGAATATTTAACCGCATTCACAATTAAGCCTAGTTCACACTGAAACATCCGCTTTCTACAGCGACCGAAATTCCCCTGCCGCCGAAACGCAGCGTCGTTAGCACTGGACGCGCCCCGAGCCGCCGAATATGCCATCTACCACCGGGCAAACGCGGGATGGATGCGCTGTCACCCGGTTGTTGTCGCGGCTCGCAAACGCCACTACGCTATCCGGTGGTGTATACTTCGACGACTCTTGTACGCAGGAAGCAAGAAAAGACAGTACGGCTTACTTTGCTGGCAAGTGGCTGTCTTGTAATGCACGAAGAGCAGAAAAACCACCGACGCCAGCGGCGTTGGTGGGTTCGTTTTGCTCTGCAAGACAGCAACAAGCTCGGTCACGCCGAGAGCAAGCTCGGTCACCTCTTCCACGAAATACGCACGCGAAGTAGGCGAAGAGTAGGTTAAACTCCCGTTGGTTTCAACATTCAGTTACGTGCACTGCGGCATAACAAGTGAGTAGGGCTTGGCCGCCATTTTTCAAAATTCCTTGACTAGCGCTCCTATTGGTCCGCGGTGACCGATTCGGCGGCAGACGCCGCAAAAATCGGTCTGTGAGCGATCGGATCGGCGCGGAGAGGGCCCTTTCGGCGGATCTTGCCGCCGCTGAACCGGATCTTGCCGCCGCCGAACCGGATTCGGAGCACTTTCGGCTGCCGGAATGCTCAGTGTGAACGCGGTCTAAGTCGCACAGTGTCCCGAGACGCTCTTGCCGCTTTCGCTGCAGCGCACGTCGCTAGCAGACGACAGGGCGCGGAAGGATACACTTAGATGTGCTCGCCCTCCTGATTGGTTGAGAAGGCCTGCCGCTTACACAGTGCTGCACGGAACTTCTGGAACAGAGTGTGGACACCCGTGTGATTAGATTTAGGTACACGAAAGAATGTGAGGTGGTTGAAATTTCCGAAGCCCTTCATTACGGTGTCTCTAGTAATAATATCAGTAATCTGGGATGGGAAACTCTGATAAATATAATTAGCATATTTATTAATAATATTAGTCCACCACGGCGTCTCTCATAATCGTATGGTGGTTTTGGGTCGTTAAACCCCGCATATCAATAAATCGAAATGAATTATTAATAATAATAATATTATTTGAACTTATGCACCCTCGACGGTGTGAAGTTGGCAGTGGGGCACACTCGGCCGCGGGGCGCACTAATGACTGCTCTAACTCGCAGCTTTCTCAAATGTCAAACTCTGAAAATAATCTTTTTTTTTTTTCATCCCATTGTGTCGTCCCACGCAAGGTCGCCTAGTGCCCGCTAGCGGCGCAATGAAGCTGACGGTGAACTTGCAGCAACACTTAATGGAAGATTCCGCAATATCTATCGGCTCGTATGTTGCGTCGTTCATGTATTGTACAGCTCGTACGTATCAGATGTGTTTGTACTCTAGTGAATTTCGTTGTACCCCTTTGTGCGGGTTGTCGTGTGTCTCGCAGGCTGCAGCCGTTATGATGTCTGCACGTGTATTTTGGTGGTCGCGGTAGGCGTTGTTGCTGTGAACGGATGCGGTGACGTGCCCCTCGCAAAATAAATAAATAAATAAATAAATAAATAAATAAATACTTTTTTAAAAAGTAGTGGTGTTCACTTGGAAACCGTGCTGCAGCTGTAGTTTTTTTTTTGCGTATAACCTGTTCCCTCAACAACGAATCGCGGATTTTATTCTGATTTATTTTTTTCTAAAAATGATCTCTGCGTATTGCCGTG